GGCATTTGATAAATGGCAATTCACTTTCTTATTCCTAAGCAGAAGTACCTCTTCCTATCCCATGTCTCTTCAAAGCATATGGGTGATTTAGATGTACAGAAATTCCTTATTAGCAGCTATCAGACATTAGCTTCAGTTTCTACCTGGAGACAATCTGGAACATATACCACTGGGACCATGGAATAGCCAGAAAGCACCAAAGCAGTCCGTGCATTGGTGGAGGATTGTGGGAGATTCTGAAGACTATAAGTGGCAATGGTTTGTCTCCTGACCTTTCTCTTGCTTCCCTGCTGCCCCTGCCACTGCCTTCTGCTTTCATAGTCAAGGTGCAATTTAACAAAGCAGAGAAAAGGGCTTTTGAGGGGAAAATGAGGGGTCCAGTTATCAAAAAAATAAAATTTTCATTTGTTAGAAAAGAGCTCTGAATTTTCTTCACTGAATATACCAACAAAGTATTATTGAATATTGACACATCACAAATAGCACCAGAATATTACTAGCTATAGTGATGGGAGATGAACTCCTAGATTGGTTGTTGTTGTTGTTAAGTGCTGTCGAGTCATTTCTGACCCATAGCCACCCTATGTAGGGCTTTCAAGGAGTAGCTGGTGAGCTTGAACTGTCAACCTTGTGGTTCAAACAGACCTTGCAGTCTAGCACATTAACTCGCAGCACTACACCACTCAAAATGAGACTGGGGAAGAGCTGCCTCCTCAAAGTAGAGTTGACCGTGACGATGCAAATGGAGTAAAGCTTTCAGAACCTTCATCTGTTGCGGGGGCACAACTCAAAATGATAAGAAACAGTTGCAAATATCTATTGATAATCAGAACATGAATGTATGAAGTGTGGATCTAGGATAATTGGAAGTTATCAAAATTGAAATGGAAGATATAAAGATCGATATCCTAGGCATTAGTGAGCTGAAATGTACTAATATTGGCCATTTTGAATCTGAAAATCACATGGTTTACTATGCTGGGAATGACAAATTGTAGAGGAATGGCATTGCACTCATCTTCAAAAAGAACATTTCAAGATCTATTTTGAAGTATAATGTTATCTGTGACAGGATAATATCCAGATGCCTTCAGGAAGACCAGTTAATACCACTGTGATTCAAATTTACACACCAACCAGTAAAACCAGTGACGATAACATTGAAAAATTGCCATTAAGATGTAGTGATAATTATTGGTTATTGGAATGAAAAGGTTGGAACAAAGAGGAAGGATCAGTAAGTGGAGAATATAGCCTTAATAGTAGAAATTATGCTGGAGATTGCATGATAGCATTTTGTAAGACCAATGACTTCTTCGTCGCAAATACCTGTTTTGTTTTGTTTTTAATTGTGAACTGAGTGATAGTTTACATGGGAGAACATCGGCTTTACATCATTGTTTCATTGCAATGATTACAGTCTCCTCCGTGCATCATCATTCAACAGCATTTGTTTCCATTTTCTCTGTTTCATTTGTTTGTTTGTTTGTTTTGGGGCATGTACACAAAAACACTCAGGAATATTTAACAATTTAAACAACCAAAGAGCGCACTCTGCAAGTCAGCCTCCTGGCCACCAGTACTCAGCACCCTCTCTTTCCATGAGTCTAGAGTCCTCAGCTGCCCCCTGTCTCCATGTCCTCATCTCTGCCTCCATCTGTGGTGTTGCTGCTTCTCTGGATTGGGTCGCACATTTTGATTGTGCTCTGTTCTCTTGATGGTCCTAGGGTCCTCTGTTCCTGGACTGTAAGAATAACTACTGCAAATACTTTTTTAAAAATAAGCAACATAAAAGATGACTATATACACGGACCTCAACAGATGGAATACACAGATATGAAATTGACTACATCTGTGGAAAGAGACAGTGGAAAAGCTCCATATCATCAGCCAACACAAGGCTAGGGGCAGACTGTGGGACAGATCATTAATTGCTGCTGTGCAAGTCCAGGATGAAGATGAAGAAAATTAAAACAAGTCCAACAGAGCCAAAATATGACCTTGAAAATATCCCACTTGAATTTAGAGACCATCTCAGGAACAGATTTTATGTACTAGACACTAATGACCATAGAACAGAAGAGCTGTGAGACTACATCAAGAACATCGTAAAGGAAGAAAGCAAAAAGGTCATTAAATAGAGAAGAGGGAAGGAAAAGATCAAAATGGATGTCAGAAGAGACTCTGAAACTTGCTTTCCAGCTTAGAAATGCTAAAGCAAATAAATGGAAGAAATGAGGAGCTAAAGAGCTAAACAGAAAATTTCAAAGGGCAGCTCGAGAAAACAAAGTCAAGTATTATAATGAAATGTGTGAAGAGATGGAGTTAGAAAACCAAAGGGAAGAACATGCTCAGCATTTCTCAAGATGAAAGAAATGAAGAAATCATTCAAGCCTCAATTTGCAATAGTGAAGGATTCTATGGGCAAAATATTTAATGAAGCAGAACACATCAAAAGAAAATGGAAGGAATACAGAGTTACTGTAACAAAAACAAATAGTGATGTTCAACCATTTCAAGAGATAGCATATGATTCAAAGCCAGTGGTATTGAAGGAAGAAGCCCAAGGTACACTGAAGGCACTGGCAAAGAACAAGTCTCCGGGAATTGATGGACTACAAATAAAAAACTTTCAACAAATCAATACAGCAATGGAAGTACTCACTCATCTATGCCAGGAAATTTGGAAGATAGCTACCTGGTCAACTGATTGGAAGAGATCCATATTTGTGCACATTCCAAAGAAAGTAACCAAATAGAATGCGGAAATCATCTAACAATAACATTAATAGCACATGCAAGTAAAATTTTGCTAACGATAATTTAAAAAATGGCTACAAAATTACATTGATGGAACTGTCAGAGGTTCAAGCCAGATTCAGATGAGGATGCGGAATGAGGGATATCATTGCTGATGTCAGATGGATCTTGGCTGAAAGTAGAGAACACCAGAAAGATGGTTGTTGTTGGTGGTGGTGTGCCATGGAGTTGGTTCCCACTCATAATAACGCTGCACAGGGTTTCCGAAATTGTAAATCTTTGCGGGAGCAGAAAGCCTCGTCATTCTCCTGCAGCAAACCAATCTGTGTTGGAAGAAGTGCAGCCAGAATGCTCCTTGGAAGTCAGGATGTTCAGACTTCGTCTCTCATACTTTGGACATACTATCAGGAGGGACCATTCTCTGGAGAAGGATATCATGTTTGGTAGAGTGGAGGGTCAGAGAAAAAGAGGAAGACCCCCAACAGATGGATTCGCACAGTGGCAGCAGAAATGGGCTCAAATATAGCATGACTGTGAGGTTGGCCCAGGACCGGGCAGTGTTTCATCTGTTGTGCATAGGGTCTCTATGAGTCGGTACTGACTCAATGGTATTTAACAACAACAACAACCAAAAAAGTACAGATGCTACTAGATGTTATAGTAATCTCCCCCAGTTCTGACAGGTCTTTCCTCAGTCTTCATACCCGCTGCCCACATTATTTTAATGAGTGAACTCATAGTGCATCTGAAATGTCAATGGTTAGTAGTTCAACACATAATGATGCTTTCTATGTAGAGTATGCAATCAGTTTATCTGGCAACGGATAGACAACTTTGGTGTGTCCCATTTGTGAATGCGTTGTTGTTAATTGCCATCGAGTATGTTCCAACTCATAGCAACTCTGTATGGGGTTTCTGAGGTTGTAAATCTTTAGGCAGCAGAAAGCCCCATCTTTTTTCCCCTGGAACTTGAACCGCCAACCTTGTGTTTATCAGTCCTGTGCTTATCCTACAGAGCCACCATGCTACCAAGTGACTGGAAAGACTTATCATTATTAGTAGTAAATCCAGGGCTATTAGTTGTAAAATATAAGTCCTCAAAATTGCATAGACTGTTAGGTATTAAAATGTTGGTCCTTTAACATAAAGAACTTAAGTTCCTGTTAAAATGTAGACAAATTAATTTCCTTTCATCTTTTGGAGTGACTTATGCTAGAACACCGCCTTCATGGTTCCATCCACGTAGTTCTCCAAAGCTCTTGTTTAGGGATGGGCTTCCACTCAGATTTCATTCCACTCATTAAAAATCAATACAAGTGAATATACATAATACAGAGTCCTGGTGTGGCATTGTGGGTTAATGTGCCAGATTACAAAGTCACTTTGAACCATAAGGTTGATGGTTCAAGCTCACCAGTTGCTCCTCGGAAATCCTATACAGTTGCAATGGGCCAGGAACTGACTCGATGGCACTTCACAACAACAACAACAACACACACACACACACACACACATATATATATATATATATAATGTTGCTCATTAGGAGCCGTGAGATATGGTAAATCAACCCAAATTCTCCTGAGGGGGTGAAAAATCATGGCATAACAAGGGATGTTGGTGTTGTTAAGTGCCAATGAGTCGGCTCTGAGTCAGTGACCATGAGGAGCGACTGGTGGGTTTGAATCATTAACCTTGCATTATCCTACAGTGCCACACCAGGAATACCAATGTGGAAATCTGAAAATGGGGGTTCTATTCTGGTATGGCTCTGCAGGATAATGCACTGGGTCTCAAGGTTTATTTGAACCTCAAGGTTGGCAGTTCAAACTTATCAGCCACTTCTTGAAAACTCTATACAGGATTGCTATGAGTCAGAACCAACTCGAGGGCACTTAACAACATTCTAAAGTGTGTCCCTAACTAGATTTGTGACCTCCAATCTTTCTCTACCTTGGTGTCTTGCATACAAAAAGATGAAAAGGGAACTGTAGACGTTATAAATTCACCTACTTGATGGTACCACCGGATCACTGCAATTAGGCTTTCAGGAGTAGCTCAACTAAGTCTGAAAGTTACACTGGGATATTGATTTCCTACAGTCCAACTACTAGTCTAATCAGTAAAGCTGTTAAATTTGCAATATTTCACTGATGAGTACCAGCGCGTTGCAAGTTATAAAATTTCCAATTTAATTTTACTGCATCCCTGAAGCCGTAGTAATTAGAAGACACACTCACAGTGAAGATGTTTACAGCTTCAGGGGTGATAATTTTGAACCTGTCCTGCAGGTCACTTCTGGCTTCAAGGTTCCCCGATTTGACAGCTGCCTGTAGACTCAGGATCTTACTGTAATACAGCAGTAACTCGTCACCCATATAATGGGAGCAGATGTAGATGACGCTGACATTGTCATCTAAGACAACAGGCACAATGTTAATTACTGGAAAAAAGGTAAACCACATCATGAACCCTGGCCCCAAAGTGATGTTGAACAGTGTATACAATCCAGAGCATATCTGAAAGCCACGCTAAAGATAAGTTGGATTGGCTTTGTACAAATCTTAGCAATTTAACTGGCTTTCCTGCACTTTAGCATTTCTCTAACAAAAAAAGATAAATAACATCGCCAGCAACAAAATAGACAGAGTGATTCCTTCAGAGGGAGGCCTGTGAGGTACGGCGGAAGTGCACTTCCAAATCATAGGATTTAGCTACACAACTCCCATTAACATCAAGGGGAATTGCATTCTGCTTTAAAAATTTATCCCATTAACTTCAGCAAATTATAAAACACAGCGATTAACTTCAGAAAGCTGATGAAACTGCAATTTCTTATTCTGCCTGGACTTGACAGGGCCAATTCACAGAATGTCCTGTCTAAACAAACGGCACGATTATGACCACAGCAGTGATCACTTTAGGAGACCAACCTTTTCCCTGCTTCATTCCCAAAGAGGCTTGCATTCTTAAAGAGCACATCTAGGGATTCTTGGCTTAAAGGAAACACTCCCTCTTAATATAACTGTTGTCCATTTAAAGATGTGCTTCTGACTAAGTACCTACACAGAAATCCAAACGCAATAGTGATAAGAGACTGCCTGGGCGCTGTGGGTTAATGCGCAAGACTGCAAGGTCCTTTGAATCGCAACATCGGAGGTTCAAACTCACCAGCCGCTCCTCGGAAACCGTATACAGCGTCGCTATGGGTCGGAACCGATTCGACGGCACTTAACAACAACAACAGCACCTCATGCTGCAGATCTTTTAAAGAAATATGGACTCATTCATTCATTCATTCAAATAATAGTTGACTGAGCAGTACAATGAAAGCACTTGATGAGACAGGAAGAGAAGTATAGCTATCAAAGTAACTTAAGACGCTGCCTTCAAATAACAAGCATTGCACATGCGCAAACAGCTTAGAGACTCGGGGAATAGTGCGCACAGTGAAATCTGCAGACTGGGTACTTAGAGAAGGTTACAGGAGGAATGCAGGAAAATGATTTCTGGGTCAGGTAGGACAGGGAAGGCAGCTTTGTTCAATTTGGTGTAATATACAAACCATGCCACGTCCTGTCCAGTCAATTTCGAATCAGAGACCCTATATAACTGCCCACCAAGCTTCCTAGGCCATACTCTTTACGGGAGCAGAGCTCCACGTTTTTTTTCCTATGGAGCAGCTGGTGGTTTTGAACTGCTGATCTTTAGGTTATCTGCCTAACTTAACCATGGTGCCACCAAGACTGGCTATATTCTGGATCAGCTGCCTCGGAACTCTAGACACATTATTCAGCCTTATTTAACCACATTATTTAACCCTTCAAAGCATTCCTTTCTTCATCTGTAAAATGGGAATAAGACTACCTCTGTGCAGAGTTTTAAGGAGCCCTGGTGGCACTGTAGGATAAGCACTGTACTGCTAGCTACAAGGTCCGCAGTTCAAACCCATCAGCCATTCCACGGGAGAAAGATGAGGCTGTCTGTGGCTGTAAAGATTTGCAGGCTTGAAAACACTATATATAGAGTTGCTTTGATTTTGTTGTGCTGTTATTAAGTGTCGCTGAGTCAGTTCTGACTCATATTGACCCTGTCTAGGGTTTCTGAGGCTGTAAATCTTTGCAGGAGCAGAAAGCCTTACTGTTGTTGTTGTTAAGTGCCGTCGAGTTGGTTCTGACTCATAGTAATCCTGTATAGGGTTTCTAAGAAGTGGCTGGTGAGTATGAACTGCCAACTTTGAGGTACAAACCGAACTTGCAGTTGAATACTTATCCTACAGTGCCACACCACAACTCCAGAAAGCCTCATGTAGTTGTTAAGTGCTGTCAAGTTAGGTCCAACACACAGGGTTTTCGAGGAACGGTTGATAAACTTGAACAGCCGACCTTGCAGTTCAAATGGACCTTGCAGTCTAGTGCATTAACCCGCAGCAACACACCAGGACTCCAGAACAGATTAAATAACAGCACATATGTAAAGCACATGATACAGAGTCTGGCACAAGAAATGGTCCAGGTTTCTGAATCTGCTCTGTGGCCCACCCCAACTAGGCCAGCCAACAGTGGTTCTTATCCTGCCCTTGCCCTGGGTTTTTAATCAGTGCCTCAAGATTTCACAGGACTAAGTGTATCCTCTATTGTTTCAGAAATATTTATCTGGACTCTCCAACTTCCTTAAAGGCAAGGAACAAATCCTATGCCCTTTCTTACATTCCCTTGAGCCCTGGAGCAGTGCAGAAAACATCCGAGTCACTCCCGAAGTACTTGTGGGTTGGCTGAAGGAATTCGGAAGGGTGGAGAAAATCACAAAGTGGAAAGACTTACATACTTACAGATTCACAGCTTGCAGGGGAAAGCCCGACCTCTGGGAGTAGGCATTTTGGGGCCAGAGGCAATGCCATTGGGATCTATCCTGTCTTGGGCTCAGAGTCGTTGTTGTTGTTAAGTGCCATTGAGTTGGGTTGGGTTTCCGAGGAGCGACTGGTGACCTTGAACCACTGACCTTGCAGTTCAAATGGCTTTGCAGTCTGGCGCATTAACCCACAGCGCCACATTGGGCTCGAAAATGTAAATACTTAAAGGACTCCTATTAAATTTTGAGGGAGTCCTGGTGTGGCGCTATGAGATAAAGCACTAGACTGCAAAGCCAGTTTGAACCACAAGGTTGGCGGTTTAAACTCGCCAGCCGCTCCTTGGGAACGCTATACAGGGTCATTATGAGTCGGAACCGACTCAAGGGCACTTAACAACAACAACAACAACAACTAAACTTTGAAAGTAAATTGCCACATAAACCTCAAATTAACTGAGGAGATAGTAGTTAAATAACTTGTTCCAAATTGTTGAATGACTGCATCAGTTATCCCAAATCTTGTGTTTTCAATCTCTTACCAAACTAGTGGTTTTAAAAACCAGACTACTAGTATTTTTTAGAAGTATAAAAGAGCCAGGCACAAAAACAAACAACAACAATGACTTACAGGCACTGTAGCAAAAGAAAAAGGGATTTTTCTTGGGCAGAAATTTCTAGGTTAGAAATGATACCAAAGCATGTTGCCACGCTTCACCTATCCTGTTTTATTTCTGGCAGAAGAATACATATTACTAACACTAATATCAGGCTTAGCATGGCTTGATCATGAAGTTACCAATGTTCAACATTAATTGACAGGAAATTTTGGAAATGAATTAATAAGAAGATGAAATTTGCTCTGATCGCTGGAATCTGTTGTAAAGAAATTCTTTGGGGGTGGTTTGTATGAAGGGCACTTAAAAAGCTAAAGAAAAATATTAGCTCAAATAAATTAGTCAACATTAGTCATTTTCTTGCTTAACTCGTCTAGAACTTGAAACCAACCACTAGCTTTGAGGTTTCCAACTGATACCCTTGTCTGCACAGCCTTATCAATGTGATCAGATTATCTTGTTTCTCCAACTAAGCAGAAAAAACAATACTCTTTAATAGACATTAACTGAATTTTTTTTTTTAAAAAAGATAATCATCTGTTCTCTCAAAATTCGATTTTTTCTAGTTTTTTTTTTTCATCTTTTATTTCCCAAGTCGTTTTGTTTTGGTTTGCTTTGTTTCTTTTATCTGCTATTTCTAAATGTCCATCACCCTTCTTGAAAAGCTTTCGTACTTGAATTGTTATTACCAGTGTGAGAGTGTAGCAAGAAACGGCATTTAGTTCAGAATCTCTCCGCAATTTTTACTTCAGTAAAACTTTCCACGGCAGGTATTCACAGGCTGAATTATTGAATTATTTAAAATAGAAGCCTGATATTTTCAAGTTTTTTTCCAATAATGCGCCTCTTTTGTAAAAAAAAAATTCTTTGGTGATGGCTGCTACTATATATAGAAGGGTATATAAAAAGTTGAAAGAAAAAAATTAATTCAAATAAATTAGAGCAAATTCTGCCCCTCTGCTGCACTTCAGTGGTTTCCATCCAGTCAGGTTTTTAGTTGAACTAGCTCAGCACAAACAAATCAATCTCAAGTCATTAAATTTTTTTTTTTTTTTTTTTGTAATGCTGAAAAACAATATTAGTGCCTAGATAATAGATTAAAGCAATTATACTATTATTATTTTAGGACACTGTAAATTTCTAGTACTGATGTATTTCTGTTACCAAATGGCATTTATAAAATAATAATGATGCTGAAATATATATGAATCAAGTAAAGTATGCCATTCCAGGGAGCCAGCTAAGTTGGTCTTTGATAATTTAAAATTCTCCCTTGTTTTGCTTAAATAAGGGCCAAAGCAATTATATTTTAACAAAACAAAGAGCTTCTTCTTTAGTAACTACTAGAAACCTTGTTTTGGTTTAACCTTGAATATTTGGCCAGTACCCTCAAAAGTGACTCAATGTTTTTGTTTAGCCTTTGCAACTTATATTCTTTACCTATAACCTGAATCCTGGAGTCAAACACTATTAACCAAAGCCCCCAAATTCATGCAGCCTTTTCTCCTAGCCTCAGATTGGTAGCTGATTTAGAACTGATCAAACTAGTATCAGAACTTGCCTTTCACAAAGATGTATCTTTCACTCAGTTAAGGTTGTATTTTGAAGAATTCCCTCCACAGAGCCACCTTTTGTTTTCTAATAATTAGATGATATGTGTTTAAATAAACAACAACATTTAAATAAAATCTGCTCTGGAAAATTGCTTTTCGTTTCCCTCTTTTCTTGCAGTGAAAAGAGAATGCTTCATTTCTGATACCACCTTCCACTCATTCCCCAGATAATATAATAAACATTATCAATACAAATAGAATGTTCTGATCAAACTCACTGCAAGATCCAGTAAATGGAGATGATTCGGGGCTATGTAGGAGAGAAATTCTTATGCAAACCTTTAGTAAAGAGAATTTAGAAAATTATCCAAGTAAATTGGTTAAAATGCCAATTGTTTTTCAAGTTGGCATCATTGTAAAATCTGTTCTTTGAAACAAAACATTCAATGGTCCTGCAAGTCAATTAATTATCCAAGCTTTTTCCTTGTAGAGAAAGCGTGCATGAAAGAATTCGTCTGTGCATTGTATTTTTCAGTGCAAAAACCAAAACACAGACCTCCAAAGCATTTTAGTAACACCCACTAGTAAGTACCCCTGAGTCATGTGTGTACAAGTATTACTGTACCGAAGATGTCACACAGCCTTCCCAGTTGCATGTTCTGCTGAGTGTCGAAATCAGCAATGTGTTCTCGCACGGACTTGGAATACCCTAAAAAGCAAACAAGGTGTCAAACCCCAGAAAAAACAAGTCATTATAACATAAAGGGCGCACTAGAATTTCAAAGAGTCACAGTATACATTTTAAGAATTTCTGTGAAGCTGAAGCAATACTATTCCTCAGAACGAGGTCCTGGCTTTTCAGAACACTAAGGATTTCCTGGAAGATGTGCTAAGCAGTATATGCCGCAACAGAGAGGTTAGTGTGTTTTGTTTTTTTTCAATAATGCCAGTGTAGCTGCTGAGGATCAGGGTTAGAAAAACAAGGGGAAATTTTCTGACTTCTAACATGAATGCACAAAATGGCATGGAAAAAATATTATGCTCAGATCCAAGGAAATTAATTGCTTCATTCATATTTTTATTTCACATGTTTCTTTCTTTCTTCTTCTTCTTCTTCTAACCTTTCTGGTCTTTTCAACTTAAACTTCCTATGTGGTATTTTGAAGTAGTACCCCAGAATTATTCTAAACAGAGACTGATTTCAGGAATACAGAGTTACATACTTCTAAATACAAATGCCCTGGTAGCATGGGTTATGGACATGGTGGGCTGCTAACTGCAAGGTCAGCAGTTTGAATCCACCAGCTGCTCCTTGAGAGAAAGATGAGTCAGCTCCCATAATGAGTTACAGCCTCAGAAAACCTATATAGGGTCACTCTGAGTCATAACCGACTCAGTGGCACACAGCAGCACATATCAAAGACATAGGCTTCTGCTTACAGTCCAGAGATCTTTTAACCTTCCAAGGGCAAGACAGGTTAATTCAGGTACTTCGTCAGTATTAATTTAAGTCCTACAAAGTGTGTTTATTTACTCTGAAAACAGCACAGAAGGAAAATTCGTATATATTATTATCGTTCAAACATCTTTCACAATGGAAACAGCAGTAACACTTTCGGCTGATATTTAGAGCTTTCAAAAAGGAAAGGAAAAAAAAAGAAAAAAGTGGATCAAAACGTGAACTTAAAAGGCATGCATATTCATGAGCAAGCATAATTGCTTATATGAAATTCAGCAATTGTAGGTGCAATTTTTTTTTTTTTTTAATAAAATTGCTTTTCACATTTTGAAGAGATGCTTCAATGCCTCCTTGTGGTTAGTGAGTCCAAACACATGTTTCAAGTTAAAATGCTATAGATAAAGTGGTTTTATATACTACATCTGTGAGTGGTGACACACATTTCCTTCTCAGCATAAGGAAAACTATAGTAATTCAGCAAACAGGGCTTCAGATCAAATGAACTCTGATAATTGGCTCTTTGCTTTGATGTCAGTGTTTAAACACTAGACGACGTCTGGAAATTAAATGAATTTACAATTCATCTAAAAGTCTCTCTTTAACTTGATGCACATGAACTTAAGAACCAAAGAGGTGGAAGGACAAATGGGTTGTTTGAATTATTTTAGAAAATTATTAATTTCTCAGATAATTTATGGAGCCATCCCATATATATATGACAGTGAAAACAGACAGCTACAATTTCAATGCCATGATTGCGATATCATAACTCCTGGAAACCTGCATATATACAATTCTATCTAAAGTCAGAGGAATGTTCAGTAAGATGTGTTGAGAGTAATATGGATCAAGACTATAAGAAGACAGGAAAAATGTCTAAAGAATAAAGTATGATTAAGAAGATGTCTGAGACCATTCCATGGCCGCCTTTCCTTTCAAAAGTAAAGATAAAAGGCAGTGTGAAATGTCTCATTAAAATGATGTCCAATTGAAAATAAAAAAAGACTTCTGAGCCCTGTTAATGCAAATGCAGCATGTGACTGAGTGAACAAGATTATGCTTCTAATCAAGTACTTGAGGTCAGTTTTCCAACAAATTATTTGGTATCTCCATGAGCACTGTTCAAGGATGCATATAAAATGTCTACTTAGAATTATGATATGTCTGGTTGCCCAGTTAACCCTACCAATATACCCATTAAAAATAATTGAATGTTAACCATCTCACAGCATCTTTGCAAGAGGATAACACGAAGTAACAGATGTGAAAACATTTTGTAAACTGTAAAGTGCTGTATGTTGTTGTTGTTGAGAGCTGTTGAGTCGGTTCTGGTTCATAGCGACTCTGTGTAGGGTTTTCCAAGGAGCAGCTGGTGAATTTGAACCACGGACCTTGTAGTTTAAATGGACGTTACAATCTAGTGCTTATCCTACATTGTAATGTTATGAGGTATGTGCACTTCCAAAGCATATAACAACAAAAACAACAAATTCTGTCAGAAAGAAAAGACCATTCTAGGTGGATAAAATACATGGTCACTATCAAAGCAGAAGTTTGGAGTCAGATTTTTAAAGTTAGTTTTAATCTTTTTTTATACATCCAAAAGATGCATGTGTTGAGACCTAGGTGAAAATAATTCATAAATGCTGAGAGCATCAGGGAATTATCAACAAGGATATTATAATAGTCTGGATGTGATGCTGTAGGACCAGCTCTGGGCTGTGAACCACAAAAGTGGGCAGTTCAAACCCACCAGCTGCCTCCTCGGAAACTCTATACAGGGTCGCTATGAGTCAGAACATCAACAAAGTTTGGCAGATATGCCTGGTATCAGAGACATCACACTCTGAATGTAATCTACAAAGATAAGATTATCTCATGGGTCAGATAGTAATACTGGGACAGTTCTCTGTGTGTGTGTGTGTTTGCGTTTTATCTATAGGGATAGTTCTATGTGTGTGTGTTTCTGCTTTATATGTATTTATTTAGAGACTTCGGAGATTTGTATCAGTTTCTCAAACAAGTGTACAGGGAATTTTTGATAAATTACATTTTAATCTGATCCATAATTTTGCATGGTGGATCCTTAGTCACAGTACTGAGTAGCTAGAGTTTGTGACTCTCCTGAGTTGAATAGTGTTTCTTTTTTCTTTTTTTTTTTTTAACTTTTTATTGTTAATTGGAGCCCTGATGTAGTGTTGTGGGATAAGCACTGGACTGCTAACCACAAGGTCATCCGAAGTAAAAACCCACCAGCCGCTCTTGGAAACCCTAAACAGAGTTGCTATGAGTTGAAACCAATTTGACAGCACTTAACAACAATATTGTGAGTTGAGCAATGTAACATCATTTATTCCGCTTCATCCTGTGATTCTTTTTTCCATTCCACCATTTTTCCCAATCCTGAATTGTGTCCTTCTGTAAATGCTGCCCTTTTGATCTTGAATGGTTGATCATTCCCTGGTGTGCATACCTCACTAGTGTTGGCATGTCCCCTATAGTGCTATCTGCTACTTGGCTCAAAATTGAGCCATAAGGGAGATCTGAAGGGTGGCTGCAGACCATAGTTCCTCAAATCCCTTCCTGAGAGTCCATCTACCTCAATCCTGTCATGTAACAGATGAGGAAACTCAGTAAATGCCTTGCCTCTTGTTTAGAATCACATAAACCCACAAATTATTATATAAATCAGATAATACATTGGTCCCATAAAATCAGAAGGCAAGATTCTGCAAGTATAAGCAGTAGAGAACTCCAGAACAAACAAAAACAGTCATTTTTTCTTTTGTTATGGGAGGCATAATAGTGGCCCCCAAAGATGTCCATGGTCTAATCCTTATAACCTATGAATATGTTCGATTATGTGGCAAATGGGAAGGAAAGGTTGCAAATGGAATTAAGGTTGCTAATTAAGTTGATTGAAGACGTGGAGATTATCATGGATTATTCAGATAATGACAAAGGTCCTTAGCAGGGAGACAGAAGAGTAAGGGTTAAGAGCAAGATGTGACTATGTGTAGAGAGATGTACCACTGCTGGTTTTGATGATGGAGGAGGGAATATGGGTAGCTTCTAGCAGGAAAGAGCAAGAAAATGAGATCTGCCCAACAGCTTCCACAAAAGAAATGCAACCCTGCTGACTGACATCTTGATTTTAGCCCACTTAGGATGTCTGAATTACAGACAGACTGTAAGATAATAAATGTGTGCTGTTTTAAGTCACATTTGTGGTCATTTGCTACAGCAGTGATAGAAAACACACAAATACAATTGTCTAGCTCTCTCACTTCCACTAAGTCCCCCCACCAATAATACTCTGTTCTTCTTTCATCACTGAAGGGTGCCAAAGGCTCTGATGCATAATAAGAACTCATAGGTATGACGCCTTAGGATAAGTACTGGATCACAATGTCAGCAGTTCAGACTCACCAGCTGCTCCTCAGAAACCCTATACAGGGTTGCTGTGAGTTGGAACTGACTCGATGGCACTTAACAACAACAAAATAAAGCACTCAATAAATACCATTGTTGGTACTGTTATTTTTTCTTCTAACCTCAGCTAAGCTAGATGGAAATTCTCAAAGGGAACTTTACTTAAATGTAGGAATATGAGTATTCTTATAAACATAAAACTTTTTGAGCTATAGTGTATGTACAATACAAATCACCATTAGGTGCCCGCTCATCTTTTCTAAGAAGGTCCTTGGCCTCCCCTTACTCATTCTCTTGCACCCATTTTTTCCACTATGCTTTTTCTCATTTTGTCATTGGCTTGTTTACTTGTTTGTTGAATGTCTGTCCTCTCACCAACACCTCTCCACTATTGCAATCAGACTATAAAGCGCCATTTGAGTAGGAACAAAATGAATGAAATGTGTCTGAAAACTCTACTCAAAGAATCTGTCTTTAAAATTCTTAGCCCTTTCTTCCACATGTTTTCATCTTCTCTTCTCCCTTCCCAAACGCTTCTAAAATTGGTTTTCCTGATCTGGAGAACTCAGGATTTCAAAGAAGGATATGTGGGAGTTGCTTATTTAAGGTCCTCAGGAGCACACAATTAAACTGCTCTGGGTCAGAGGTGCATTCTCTTCACCTGCAAACTGTCCCTAGTCTTATGGAGTGTTCTGTTTTCTTTCTTAAATGATTAGCTGCCAAATATGATTGCTTCCACTTTTCAACAAAGAATGGTACCTGAGCGCTGCCACTCTGAGGTTATCCAGCTACATTTGATTCCCTGTTGAAACAAGGAT